AGAAGAGGTGAGGGGTCTGTGGGGTGTTCAGGGAATTCTGGGGAGTCTGCAGAAAGGATGGGGGGGTTAAAGGCGGGCCTGGGGGCCCTGGGAGGGCATGGGGTGGGTGAGTGGGGGAGTCGGGTGGAGGGTCTGGGAGGCAGGGGGGAAGCTCAGGGCCACCCTGGGGTCTCGAGCTCAGGGTTCACCCTGCCCGTGTCCCCCAGGCACAAACATGCTGCTGGTGGGGGTGCACGGCCCCAAGGCGCCGTGCGAGGAGGTGCACGTGAAGCACGAGGGGAACCGCGTGTACACGGTGACCTACAGCGTGCGGGAGCGCGGCGAGTACGTGCTGCTGCTGCGCTGGGGCGACCGCGACGTGCCGGGGAGTCCCTTCCGCGTCACGGCGGCCTGAGCGCCCCGTGCGGGGGGCACGGGCTGGCAATAAAGCACTGGGAGAGGAACGGGCTCCGCGTGGTGACTGGGGGCACAGCACATGTGGGGCTGGGGTGGGACTGGGGACATGGCACGTGTGGGGCTGGGTGGGACTGGGGACACGGCAGGTGTGGGGCTGGGGACACAGCACTCATGGTGACTGGGGACATGGTACACGTGGTGACTGGGGCCACAGCACGCGTGGGGCTGAGGACACGGCACACATGGGGCTGGGGACACGGCACACATGAGGCTGGGGACATGGCACACTGGTGACTGGGGACACGGCACGCGTGGGGCTGGGGACACGGCACGCGTGGGGCTGGGAGCGGGCCAGGCCGGGGCCGCGCTGCGGAAGGACGCCAGGTCTAGGGGTGTCCTGAGCAAGACACCACAATTGTGGGGTGTGCAGAACAGCACAACAGGGTTTAGGGGTGGCCCTGGGGGTCCGGGGCAGGATGGTGTGGCCCGGGGGGTTCGGGGTTCCAAGGGGATTCCATGCAGGAACAGCGGCAGCCCGGGGGGTTCTGAGGGGGTCCAAGGGGATTCCATGGAAGAACAGCGGCAGCCCGGGGGGTTCTGAGGGGGTTCGGGGGTCCCGGCCAGCGCGGTGCGATGTGTCTGCGGGGCCCGTGCCGCCTGGTAGGGGGCGCTGTGCAGGGGAGCGCCCCGCGTCCCCTCAAGGACACGGCACTCTGCGCATGCGCGCCGCGAGGGGCGGGGCCGGCGGTAGGGGTGGGGCGAGGACACGGAGGGGCGTGGCCAGCAGGGGCGCGGGTCCTCCCCCCGAGGTAGGCGGTGCCGGGCCGCGGTGCCGGGCCGCGTTGCCGGGCAGCGGTGGGCGGGGCGCTCCGGGAGCGGCGGCGGAAGCCGGAAGCGGCGGCGGGTTCCGGCCGGTCCCGATCCCCACAGCCGCTCCCGGCGGCGCGTCCCCACCCGCCGGCTCCCGGCAGCCGCTCTCCCACGGTCCCTGTCCCGGCGGATTCCGTTCCCAGTGGGCCCCGGGCATGGCGGGCCGCGGGAAGCTGATCGCGGTGATGGGCGACGAGGACACGGTGACCGGATTTCTGCTGGGCGGAATCGGGGAACTGGACAAGCACCGGCGGCCCAACTTCCTGGTGGTGGAGAAGGAAACAAGCCTGGCGGAGATCGAGGAGACGTTCCGGTGTGTGTGGGGGGAAGGCGGCCTGGGAGGGCTCGGGCGGCCTGAGGGGGGGCCGGGGGTGCCGGTAATGTTCGGGGAGCTGAGGGCTCCCTGCGGTGCCCGTGTGAGCGCACAGCGGGGTCTCTGAGGGGGATCCGGCCAGGATCTGGGCCCCGGGGTGTCAGTAAGGTTCGGGGTGCTGAGGGGGGCCGGGGCGGTCGGTAATGTTCGGGGTGCTGAGGGCTCCGTGCGGTGCCCGTGTGAGCGCACAGCGGGGGCTCTGACGGGACCCAGCCCGGCTCTGGGCCCCGGGGCTCGCAGCGTTGCGGCGGGGGAAGGAGAGGGCGGGCAGAGCCTGGGCTCAGGCTGCCCGGAGCGCTGCGGGCATCGGGGCCCAGCAGCGTGTCCCGCCCGGCTGCGCCGCCCGCGCGGGCACTCCGTGCCCCTCACTCTCCCTTTCTCCCCTCGGCAGGGGTTTCCTGGCGCGGGAGGACGTGGGCATGATCCTGATCTCGCAGGCGCTGGCGGAGCAGATCCGGCCGGCGGTCGCCGCCCACGCCCGGGCGCTGCCCGCGGTGCTCGAGATCCCCTCCAAGGACCACCCCTACGACCCGGCCCGGGACTCGGTGCTGCGCCGCGCCCGGGGGCTCTTCGCACCCGATGAGCTGCGATAGAGCCCCCCCGGACCCCCAGCCCCTCCCCACACCCCCCAAATCCCCCTCTAAGCTCCCACGTACCCCCGTGTGTGCCAGCCCCCTCAGCTCGCCCAGTCTGTCCCCTGCGCCCGTGGCCTCTTTGCACCCAGTCACGGGTGACTGACACCCCCAGACAGTCCCCAGTACCTTCCCAGCACCCCCAAAAGGTTCTCCACCACTCCCCCAGCTTCTTACACTCAAACAGCCCCTGGCACCCTATGGGGTCACAAGCCAGGCCTGGGGGTCTCCATCCCAGGGAAGCCCACCCAGGGGCCCCCAGCCCACCTGGGACAGTTGTGCCCCATGCCTGGGGGTCCCCAGCCCATCCCAGGGTGCTTCTGTGGGGCCCCTGGGTTCCCAGGGTGCCCTTTGGATGCTGGGGGCTGTGGTTGCCCCGTGGGTCTGAGGGTGACACGGGGAGCCTGGCGTGTCCCTGAGGGTGCCTGGGGTTGCCACAGGGGCCCTGAGGGTGACCCGTGACTGTGTCTCAGCCATGTCCCGTGATGGGGAAGTGCCACCAGCGTATCCTGCTGAATCCTGCCAGGTCCTGCCTGCAGGCAGGGAGGGACGCCCCAAGGACACTGGGAGTTGCCACTGTGACCTTGTCACCGTTCCCCCGGCTCCTCCCCAGCCTCCTCAGCCCCAGCAGAACCTGGGGGGAAGGTTATTTATTGTCCTCCCCCTGTGCCCAAATGTCATTTGTGTCCCCAGTGTTTCTCCCTGACAGTGTCCCCAACATGTGCTGACACCACTCACTGTCTGCTCTGCTCTGCTCTGTGGGGTGCTGTGAGGGGTGGGGACGGGGGGATCTGGGGGCATGGCACAGGGACATGCAGGGGGGCACGGGGACAGCGCCGTGGAGGGCTCGGGAGCACCCTGAGACCCCCCCCATGACCCCCACCCTCGGGGGGGCAGCAGGGGTGAGCAACAGGGCCTGAGGGCATTGGTGTGAGGGCCCGGGAGCCCCGTCCAGCCAGGGCTGCCCCCGTGTTTGTGTTCCCACCTCCCGAGCAGCCCCTGCTGTGCCCTGCAGACACGGGTGGCACCTGCAGGGCACTGAGGGGAACCCACATCTCTGGGGCCCTGGACAGTGGCCGTGCTGGGGACACGCACTGGGGAGTGGGCTGGGCACAGGTGGGCACAGACACAGTTGTCACAGATGTCCCACACATACACACACACACACACACACAGGTGGCACACACAGGTGTCACACACATACCACGAATACACGTTTATGGCACACAGAATCCCAGGACAGTGTGAGCGGGAAGGGCCCCCTGGTGATGCCCCAGCTGAGGTCCTGCCCAGGCAGGGTCACCTGGAGCAGGTGGCACTTGTCCAGGTGGGTTAGGATGTCTCTGAACGGACACCCCTCACCCTCCTGGGCGGCTGTCCCAGGGCTTGGCCTTCCCGTGATGGAGGGAGGTTGTGCCTCCTGCTGAGCTGGGACTGTTGGAGCCCAGGGCCTGACTCCTCATCCTTCGCTGGGCAGGACGGGGCTGGGCCTGGCACCATCCTCTTCACCTGGGCAGGTCTGGGCTTGGTGGGATCCCCCCTCAGATGTTTGCATGGATTGGTGCCATCCCCTCACGTGAGGGATTAGTGTGGGCATGTGAGCAGCAGTCCAAAGCTCCACATGGACTCGGGAGCCCTGGCAGCCCATCAGGCACAGAGGGGGAATTGCCAGGAGCAGGGGGAGATGGAAATGGCTCCTGGCTGTGCAGGTGACCCAGAGCGTGCTGACTGGGGCAGGCAAATGGACGTGGAGCAGCAGGACATGGCGTGGTGGCGGCCCAAGCAGCAGGATTTGCAGGAGGGCACAGCCACCCTCCTGACCCTTGAGGTGTGCTCCTCTCAGGTGGGGATTATTTTTTTCACTTGTGCAACTTGATTGGACCCAGCAGTTGTTGACACACTGACAAAAGCCGTTGCTGGCAGGAGTGGGGAGAAGCAGACAGAGCTCCCCAAGAAAGCCCGGGCTGCAGGGGGTGTCTGAGCCTACTGTTACTGCTGGAGCACAGTGAAACAGCACTGCATGTGGTGTGAGCAGGTGGGGCATCTCACAGGGGAGGCGGGGAGGCTGAAGATCCTCAAGGATTGTCAAGAGAAACAGACTGGTGGAGTTGCACCTTCCATCCAGGAGAGAAATGGAATGCATGAAAGCTCAGCAACAGTCAGAGTTGCCCTGACCCTCTTGCCTTCAGGCAGGAGGAGACCTAAAAGGGGGGAATGGAAACAGGTCCCTGCTTAGGGAGGTAGCAGAATCCCCCCCAGCTTCCCTTGCCTTCCCAGGTGCCCTTACAGAACCCATAAGAGGTCCTGGATTTTGAGGGTCAGACAGTTGAGAGTGCAGCAGAAAGTCTGCTTGGTGGGTTTCAGATCCGTGCAGTCAGTCAGACAGATCACAGCTACAGTTATTAAGGAAAAAAGGAAGGGCAGTTGTAGTGTGTGATTCACTTTGAGGGGGGCTGAGGAGCCTGTGTTCCAACCAGACCCATCCCACAGGGAAGGCCTAGGCCTCCCTGAGGCCCAGGCAGGGGACACTGCTGAGACACTCCCTGCACTAATTCAGCCCACCAGCTGCTGCCTGTGACTGTGGTCACAGGGGTTTTCAGGGTGAGAGATGAAAATGTTGACTCTGTGATCAGAAGGCTTGATTTATTATTTTATTATATATATATATATATATATATATATATATATATAAAACATTATGATTATACTAAAAGGAATAGAAGGAAAAGTTCTCAGAAGGCTAGCTAAGCTAAGAATAAGAATGATAACAAAGGAGCTCTCTCATACTCTGTCCGAGATAGCTCAGTTTTTGATTGGCCATTAATTGTAAACATCTAAGATGGGCCAATCACAGGTGGACTTGTTGCATTCCACAGCAGCAGATAACAATTGTTTACATTTGTTGCTGAAACTTCTCAGCTCTAACAGGAAAAATCCTAAGACACAATTTTAATGAAAAGATGTCTGCGACAGCTGCCCACTGCTCATTGTCCTGACGAGAGAAGTACCAGGGTAACAGAAAAGGACTTTGGTGCACTGGGTTGCCTGGTTGAAGGGACAGGAGCACAAGGTACAAGAGATGGTGGTCTTGATTCCTTTGGTAGTCAGGATGAATGCCAAAATGAACAAGAAAGCCAATGGGAGCAAAAAGTAGCTTAAAGACTGGTGCCATTGGTGGAATTTTGGGTTTTTCAAACATGAGGTAGTTTGTATAGCACCAGGCTGGAGATAGATGGATTCACCTCTAGAAGAGAAGAGGCAAAAGGGTTCCAACCTGTGGATTGGCAGGCTGATTGAGAGGGCTTTAAACTAGATCTGAGGGGAGAGGGGCATGAGAGCACAGTCACTAGAAATGAAGCTGGGGGCAGCAGGCCAGTGCGGGGCAGAAATTGATAGCACAGCTAAAGTGCATCTACACCAATGCAGCAGTGTGGGCACCACAGGAGGAGCTGGAGGCTGTGGTGCAGCAGCAAAGCTCTGATCTAGTTGCTGTCATGGAACTGTGATGACTCCATGACTGGAATGCTGCAATGGATGGCTCCAAGCTCATTAGAAGGGACAGGTGAGGGAGAGAGGTGGTGTTATGACTCTGTACCTTAGGGAGGGTTTTGGCTGTCTGGAGCTTGGTAATGAAAAGGATGAATGGTCGTGGTGAAAATCAAGGGGAAGACTGGCAAGGCAGATATCCTGGTGGGGGTCTGTTCTAGACCTCCCAACCAGGATGAAGAGGCAGATGAATTATTCTATAGAGTGCTGGCTGATGTTTCGTGGTTGCCAGTCCTTGTTTTTGTGGAGGTCTTTAACCTGCTGGATGTCTGCTGGAAGCAACCCAGTGGAGAGAAGACAGTCTGAGAGGCTCCTGGAATGTGTGGAAGAGAACTTCTGGCTCAGTAGCTGAGCAGCCCACCTAGGGTGGGGCCCTGCTGGACCTGCTGTTTGCAGACTGAGAGGGGCTGCTGGAAGACATGGTGGTTGGAGCCATCTTGGGCACAGTGACCCTGAAATGAAGGAGTTTCAGTCCTTGGCGAAGTAACAAGGTGCCTCAACAAAACCTCTACACTGTCAGAGGGTGAATGTCAGCCACTTTGGGACACTGATTTGGACAGTCCCTTGGGAAGCAGCCCTTAAAAACAAAGGGTCCCAGGAAGGCTGGGCATACATCGAGAAGGAAAGCTTTAAGGTGCAGGAGCAGCCTGTCCCTATGTACCTAAAAATGAGCTGGTGGGGAAGAAGGGATTGTCCCCCTGACCTTGGCATTGGTGAGGCCACACCTCAAGTCCTGTGTCCAGTTCTCAGCCCCTCAGGTCAAGAAGGACATTGAGGGGCTGGAGTGTGTCCAGAGAAGGCAACGTAATCGGGAGGGCCTAGAGGGTGAATCCTCTGAGGAGCAGCTGAAGGAGCTGGAGAGGCTCAGCCTGGAGAAAAGGAGGCTCAGGGGAAACCTTCTCACTTTCCAGAACTCCCTGACAGGAGATCAGAGCCAGGGGAGGCTCAGCCCTGGAGCGGCCTCAGGTTATGCCAGAAGAGGTTCAGGGTGGACATCAAGAAAAATTTCTTCATGGAAAGGTGGTCAGGCATTGGAAGGAGCTGCCCCGCGGAGTCCGAGTCCCTGGAGGTGTCCAAGAAATTATGGAGGAAAAAATGTAAACCTTCATTTCTCAAGGTATGTAATCAAAGTCAGATGCCTTTCTGAAATGGATGCAAAGAAACATTTGTAAAAGGTGAATGTAGGCAAACTAGCAGAGCACTGCTGTTTTGCAGTAAGGATCACCACATTTAAAATATTCATTCAGGGTGGGAAGAAGGGTTGACAGGCTGAGAGAGTCATGGCTGGTCAGCCTGGAGAAGAGAAGGTTCCAGGGAGACTTTGGTGCCTCTTCCAGTACTTCAAAGGGGCTTAGAAAAAGGCTGGAGGGGTACTTTGGACAAGAGCTTGTAGTGATAGGACACAAGAAAAATGGCTTAAACTGAAGGTGGTAGATTTAGATTAGGTGTTAGGAGGGAATTTCTGGCTGTGGGTGCGGGCAGGCCCTGGCACAGAGCAGCCGTGGCTGCCCCTGGATCCCTGGCAGTGCCCAAGGCCAGGCCGGACAGGCCTCAGGCCTTGGAGCACCCTGGAATAGTGGAAGGTGTCTCTGCCCACGGCAGGGCTGGCACTGGGTGGTCATAAAGTCCCTTCTACCCAGAGCATTCCACGTCTCTATGACTCTGTGCTGCCCCTCCCTGCCATGCCAGCACTCAGAACCAGCCCCTCTGTGACAGCGGCCCTGGCCCGGGCACTGTGAGCACCACGAAGGCTGTGGGTGCTGTGGCAGTGGCCGCACTGGAGGTGACAGCTCTGCGCTGGCTCTGCCACCTGCGCTGGCGCCGATGGCTTTGCTGGGGCTGCTCGTGCTGCTGGCCCTGGCCGGGCCCGTGGGGGGCACCTGGGACACCTGCAGGTCAGTGGTCCCGGGGGGCTCTGGGAGGGAGCTGGAGGAACACTTGGGGACTTCCCTGGCAGAACAGTGGTGAAAGATGCCCCTCAGGGTTGTCTGGCCCTGCTGCCGCTCAGCACCAGGGGGGACTTTCAGCCTGAGCAGCAGCAGCCACCGAGCAGGGCAGTGATGGCTTTGTGCTTCCAGAGGGACCTGTGGGCTCCGGCCCATGGCCTCTGACCACAGCTCTGCTGCTCTCGACTACAACTCCGTGGTTTCTGCTGCTGGCACGTCCCGTGAGGGTGGCACCAGTGTCCAGCCTGGGGCCTGGCCCGGCATCGTCAGCATCCAGGCCACCTGGGAGAACGGCACGTGGCACATGTGCACGGGTGTCCTCCTCAGCTCCCAGTGGGTGCTCACGGTGGCACACTGCTTCGCCAGGGCCGGGTAAGAGACAGCAGGGACAGAGATGTCCCCAGAGCACGGGCAGGTGCCCAGCTCACAGCACCATGGGCCACTCCCCTGCCCACCTGGGCGAGCAGAAGGCCGGGAAATGCTGGGCTGCTGCAGCCCGTGGCTCTGCTCCCTGTCACCCCTCTGTCCATCTGCTCCCCAGGGGCATCTCCACGTGGGACGTGGTGATCGGGGCCACAGATCTGACTCAGATGGGCCCTGAGGCTCTGGTGAGACGCATCCAGAGGCTCCTGGTGCACCAGCACTACGTGGCTGCCACGGCCAGGAATGACATTGCCCTGGTGGAGCTGGACCAGCCCGTGGAGTGCAGCGACTACATCCAGCTGGGCTGCGTGCCCGACCCCTCACTCAGGGTCTCAGAGCTGAAATCCTGCTACATCGCCGGCTGGAACTTTGCCAGAGGTGAGTTCCCAACAGGATGTGTGCTCCCAGGGCGAGCTGGGTGCCCGAGGACACGGGCTGGGCACAGACAGGGACATAGATTGGGCACCGACAGGGACACGGGCTGGGCACACACAGGGACATAGATTGGGCACCGACAGGGACACGGGCTGGGCACACACAGGGACACGAGCTGGGAACCCCAGGGACACAGGCTGGACACACACAGGGACACGGGCTGGGCACAGACACGGGCTGGGCACAGACAGGGACACGGGCTGGGCACAGACACAGGCTGGGCACCCTGGGGACACGGGCTGGGCACCCAGGAACACGGGCTGGACACACACAGGGACACAGGCTGGACACACATAGGGACACGGGCTGGGCACAGACACAGGCTGGGCACACACAGGGTCCGGCCGCACGGCGCCAGCGGGGCCGGGCTCGGAGCAGCTTGGGCTGGGGGAAGGAGTCTCCACCAAGACAGAGCATGGAACGGGATGAGCTGTAAGGTCCCTGCTCACCCAAACAATTCCTGCTGGCCCTGGGAAACCTCGGGGGTTTGGCCCCTTCCCCAGGCCAACAGCAGGGACACAGCTGGACAACATCACCTGTGGGGAAGGGGCAGGGACACAGCTGGACAATGTCACCAGTGGGGAAGGGACAGGGACACAGCTGGACAACATCGCCTGTGGGGAAGGGGCAGGGACACAGCTGGACAATGTCACCCGTGGGGAAGGGGCAGGGACACAGCTGGACAACATCACCAGTGGGGAAGGGGCAGGGACACAGCTGGACAACATCACCCGTGGGGAAGGGGCAGGGACACAGCTGGACAATGTCACCCATGGGGAAGGAGCAGGGACACAGTTGGACAATGTCGTTCCGTGGGGAAGGGGCAGGGACACAGCTGGACAATGTCACCCGTGGGGAAGGGGCAGGGACACAGCTGGACAACATCGCCTGTGGGGAAGGGGCAGGGACACAGCTGGACAATGTCACCCGTGGGGAAGGGGCAGGGACACAGCTGGACAATGTCACCCGTGGGGAAGGGACAGAGACACAGTTGGACAATGTTGTTCCGTGGGGAAGGGACAGAGCCAGGCCCGGGAAGGGGGCTCACCCCAGGCAGGGGAAGGGATGGGTACCGAGCTGCTGGGGCTCATTCCCCTCTGTGCCAACAGCTCAGGGAGCAGCCATGGTGCTGCAGGAGTCCAAGGTTCACCTCATGGACACCGAGCTCTGCAACAGCAGCCCATGGTATGCAGGGGCTGTTCATGCTGACAACCTCTGTGCTGGGTACCCACAGGGTGGCATCGACACCTGCCAGGTAGGAGCGTGTGATGAGTCCCTCAGCCCCCGGCAGCACAGGGACCCCCTCATCCCCCACGCGCAGCCCAGCCTGTCCCCTGTCCGCCCTTCCCCTCCCCACATCAGCCCCCCACAGTCCCTGAACCATCTCTCCCGGCACAGGGGGACAGCGGGGGTCCCCTCGTCTGCAAGGACAATGCAGCTGACTACTACTGGCTGGTGGGATTGAACAGCTGGGGAAGAGGCTGTGACAGAGCCAGGCACCCCGGGATCTACACCTCCACTCAGCACTTCTACAACTGGATCCTGCTCCAGACGGGCCTGAGCCCAGCAGAAAGAGCTGGTCCAGCACCGGAGCCACCTGTCACCTCGGCCCCCGAGGAGGAGGCTGAGGAACCAGAGCCACCAGAGGAACCAGAGGAACCAGAGGAAGAGATCAACTTGACCCCTGAGTACAACGAGAAACCAGCAGTGACATCCTCGGGCACGTCACTGCCCATGGCATTCCCACACCAGATCCTGGTGCAATTCTGGAATCTGGTGCAGGAGTTCCTGCAGTTTTAGAAGGACAAAAAAGCCTGAGCAGCAGCAGGATGAGCAGGATCCAGGGCTACAGTGGATCACGGCAGCTCCAAGGCAGCCTTGGGGCCAGAGGCTTCTCTGTCCTGCCCCCGCTGCTGCGCTGCAGCCACAGCGATGCTGACGTGACTGAGGTGTTGAAGTAAAGTTTCTGTGTTCACCATTACCTGTGTGTTCAGCCCTGCTCAGTGCACCCGCAGGCTTGCAGAGTCCCTGCTCTGTCTGTCCATCTGCTGTGCTGTTCACATTCATTCTTCAGCCTGGAGAGGGCTCCAGGGAAACCTCAGTGCCCCTCGTATTGAAGCAGGTTATAATAGCGGGGGAGAGTGGCTTTTTGCATGGGCAGGCCATGACAGGACAAGGAGGAATGGGTTAAACCTAGAGGAGGGGAGATTGGGATGAGGTGCTGGGAAGGAGTTTCTACTCAGGGGGTGGTGAGGCCCTGGCACAGGGTGCCTGGAGAAGCTGTGGCTGCCCCTGGATCCCTAGAAGTGTCTAAGGCCAGGTTGGACAGGGCTTGGAGCAACCTGAAATAGTGGAAGGCGTCCCTGTCCATGGCAGGGGCTGGAATGAGGTGACCTTTAAGATTCCTTTCTAACCAAACCATTCCATGATTCCATGACTGTTTAAGAGTGTGTGTGTGTATCCAGCTCTCTGGAATGCAGCATCCTGTGCACACACGCACACACAGACAAGAGCCATAGCCACATCCAACAAGGTGGGACAGAACCAGCCCCTGGGTGTGAGCCCACCTGTGTCAGCTGTATGGACGGGAAGGAGAAGCCTCCTGTGCTCAGAGCCCCTGGGATCTGGCTGTTCTGGGGCAGAATGGGGACAGCAGCCCAGGGATGGCAGCAGAGGTCATGGGTGGACTGAGGCAGCACTGGCTCAGCTGGAAGCAGGCTGGGGCTGGTCTGTGGCCTGAAACAACCTGGGACCTGCCTCCTTACAGCAGCAGCGCGGGAAGGATGCCATCATAGCTTTGTAAAAATATCCTTTAGTGTTTGCTTTCTGCAGCAGGTACCACTACAGTGCCTGGGCAGGGTCCCTCCTGCAGGTCCAGGATGGCTCACTTCTGCTAGGCAGCTCTGTCCTGAAAGAGCAGTGGGAATGAGCCACCATCCATGTGGAATCATGTGGGTCCTCCCATCCCTCTCCTGAGCAAAATGTGCAGCAGCGAGGGCCAAGCCAATGAAGATCCTGCCCAGGTGAGCTCCCACAAGAAGGGAAGAGGCCCAGCTGCCCATCGCCACAGCTCTAGGGCATGAGAAGCATTGCTGTCCTCCACACAGGCCCCCGAAGTCCAGAGCCAAGGGGAAAACAGGCTCGGGGTCCAGACCTAGGCAGATGAGGGCTCCTCTTCAGTGCAGCTCTTCCCCTTGTCTGGCAAATCCTTGCTTGTGTTCTGCAGGTCAAAGCTCTGGAAAGGAGCAGGACAAGGAACTGCTGAGAAAAGACAGACTGCAACAGCTGTATCTGCTGTGGCTCTTTTAGACTCTGCCTAGGGCAGTGAGAGCTCTCGGGATGGTTCCCACTTCCCCCTCCCAGCCCAGACTGAGCAGCACACAAAGCCCAGCAGAGGGCAAAGCTTCCCGTGCTGCAGTGTCCCCCCTTTGCCATAGGGGAAAAAGAGTAGAACTGCTCATCCGACAGGACTCAGGACGGTGCAGGGACAGAGCCTTCCCTACCTCCAGCTCCCGCAGGACCTCGTCCATGAAGTCTCCTGATTGCTGTTTGTAAGCCACAGCCAGCCTGATGGCGTCGTTGAAGAGCTGGTGGCAAGGACAAGGCTGTCACTCACAGGATGGGGCACATGGGCATTGGGCTTCTGTAGCACATGGAGACTGTTCCCACATCCCAGGGGAAAAAAACCCTCTGCAGCTCTCCATAGCCACCAGCCACTCACATGGAGCTGAAATGATGGACCATTTCCTGCTCTCTGTGCCCAGAGCAGCCCCCGTGTCCCTGGGCTGCCAAGGGGCCTCGTGGACACCAAGCCCAGCAGGCAAACGCCCATCTCACCTTCACCACATTGGTGCCATCGGCAGCAGACACAAAGTAAAAGGGCAAACTGAACTTCCGGGCAAAATTGAAGCTTTTCTGGGTCACCTTCATATCGGCTGAAGCAGACAAAGAAGACATGGTCAGTCAGACATGGCAGGAGGTGCAGAAGGTGGTGTCTTCTGTGTGACACGTCAGACGAGCCACAGCCCTGGGACAGCAATCACCAGGGGCTGCCTGGCATTCCCCATGGGAGGAACCTTCCAGCCTGCTGCAGAGCCAGGTGAACAGTTCTGTCAGCAGCTGCACTGAGACTCTTCAGCACACAGGAGTCTGTGCAGGCTGAAGGAGCACCAAGGCCATCCCTGACTGATCCAGGGAAGCCACAGAACAGCTTTGGCTTCCTTTTGCTGCCATTTTTGACCAGGTGCTACTCCAATCACTTTTGGGCTCTTGATGGATAGAATAGGCAGTGTGATAAGGACATAACTAGAAGAAAAATGCTTGAATAAAACTGAAATTGATGAAATTTGCACTTTTAATTGCTGGTGACACAGGACAAGCACCTGTAAGACAGCAGCTGAGGTCAGCACAGGACCCAGCCCTGGGGGACTGAGGAAATCCTCTGGACCCAACAGACAAGGGACATTGGTTCTCAGTAAGGACAGGAGCGAATCCCAGCACGACCCTGGCAAGCTGGGAGCAGAAGGCACACTCACCATCAATCTTGTTGGCCACCACAATGCAGGGAATCTCTGGGCGGAATTCCCTCAGCTCCTTGTACCAGTTGTTCAGGTTCTTGTAGGTGACCTTCCGCTGCACATCAAACACCTTCCAAGAGAGAACCACCTATCCCGGGCCAGCCCAGCACTGACTGACCCAGGACAGCTCTGACCAACACAAGGACACAATCCAGAATGTTCCCAGGAACACAAGACCAAGGGAACTGGGCATTATTAGAAAGGGTGAGAGAGAAAGGGACAGTATTGCCAAGCCCAGCCAGCAGGAAACAGCCCCTGGATGTCCTTTACACTGTCCTGTGTCCTGGGCAAGTCCCTGCCACCCACACAGGGAGCTGGCACTGGGAACAGCTTGTGCCAAACAGGATCAGATGTGGCCTCCTGTTCTGATAACTAAACCACCAATGAAAATCACTGGTGGAACAGTGGAAAGTGAGAGTGACAGGACAAACCAGGAGATCTGAGCAGGAGAGGAGCCAACAAAACTGGCAACAGGGGCAAACATGAGGACATTGAGAAGACAGCAGGGCCAGGGGATAGAGGAAAAGGGTTACTGGGAGAGACAGACCAGAGCTAACCACATCCATCTACAGGGGGGTTATCTGGTGAGAGAAGAAAGAGCGATCTAGGAAAGTTTTTTAAACCACGGGAAGAGACAAGGAACACATGGCAGTGCAACCATCAAAGTAACACAAAGGCCAGGTGTCACTGAGACCATTGTGCACCCAGCTCCCACAGGGTAGCTGAGACCCCCTCACCATGATGCAGGCATGGGCCTGGTGGTAGTAGGAGGCGTGCATGCTCCGGAACCGCTCCTGGCCCGCCGTGTCCCAGAAATCTGTAACACAGAACCAGCTCGCAATGACACAACTCACCGAGCTCTGTTCTTCTCACAGCTTACACCCAGGAGGCAAAGCACAGCCCGCCTGCTCAGAGACACAAACTCAGCTTCACCTCACCAATCTGAAACACACCAGGGTTAAGAAGTTGTGCCAAACTGGGACCTTTCCTCACTGGGCTCAGCTGTGAGCAGTGCTGGCACTGGCCAACAACAAAGGAGAAGCCACCAGTGACACAGTTGTGTGGGACAGCAGGACCAAGACAGGCAGAAGTGCACAGAGCCATGTCTGGCACTCTGTCTCTAGGGATGACAACGGGAAACTACCTAAAACTCCAGGAGCTGCTGGGCACTGCTGAATTCTGACCCAGCGATGGTCAGTCGGGGCCCTGCCATGGGACATGCTCCAGCGCCTCTCACAGACATCTGACTCTGCTCTCCCAGGGGCAAGAATCATTCTGAGGTGCTGAAGGTAAGTCAGCTAGAGGCAAACAGGTCCCAGTCCATGAAATTCTGTGTACACCAGAAATCATGGGGCAAACCTGGATACGGCCGTGCCTTTAGCTGTTGGTGCAGCTCAGGTGGAGATCCCCCACCTCTCACTGGGTTTGTAGGTTCACATCTGGCTCTGGTTTGCTGTATAAATTGGCACAGCTTCAGTTAAGAGCCTCAGTGTAGTCACATCTCTTGTCAGCTGGACCCAAGCATGGTGCCTACCCAAAGCCAAATGAGCCAGTTTCCTTAGGGATTCCTTTGCACTGATACTGTGACTGGACTCTGTGTCAGACCTACTGGACAGTGGCTTTCTTAAACTGCCCAAATACAGACAGGTCCCCACCAGACCACATTTGCATTCACTGTTTGTGTCACAACGAAGACGTTGAGCAGTGTAAGCCCCAGCCCAACTGAGCCATGACCATTCTTTATCCTCCGACTGTCCACCCATCCATCCAACCCCTGTCTCTCCAGCTCAGAGTCCAGGACATCGTGGGGACAGTGCCCTACACTTTGCCAAGCCCAGGGGGATGATGGCAGTCACTTTGCCCCATCCACCAATGCTGCAGCTCTGTCCCAGAAGGGCACCGGCTTTGTCACGGTGGTGTTGGTTATCAAAACACGATACCGAAACCCAGACGGAGGGGATCTGCCTTCCCAGCTGTTCCCTCTGCCATGGCACCCCCCGTCCCCGGGCTGGCCCCACTCACCCACGCGGACCTCCCGCCCGCCGACCCGGGCGCGGTGCTGGTACAGCGTCAGGGCGAAGGTGGAGAGCTGCTGCGGCTGGCTGCGGCGCGTTAAGGACCCACCGAGCGGGGCAGAGCCCCCCGCCGTGCCCGCCCCGCTCCCCGCCGGCAAGGATACAAGCCATCCAGCAGGAACCGCTCCAGCAGCCTGCCGAGAGAGCGAGCGCGTGTCCCGGTGAGCCGCGGCACGGCGCTGCGGCCCGGCTCCGCGGGACCCCCGCCCGACCCGCGGCACGCCCGCGCCCCACGCACTTGGACTTGCCCACGGCGCTGTCGCCCAGGCAGATGATCTTCACCGTCTCCTCGGCGCCGGCCGCGGCCTCGTCCCGGGTCCCGTCCCGGGCCCCGTCCGGGGCCTCCTCCCGCGCCGCGGCCCGGCCCTGCTCCTCCGCCGCCGTCGCCATGGCAGCGCCTGCGCGTCCCCGCTGCCGCGCGACGCGCCCCGGCCCCGGGCCCCGCCCCGCCCCGGGCCCCGCCCCGCCCCGGGCCCCGCCCCCCCCGGGCCCCGCCCCGCCCCGGGCCCCGCCCCGCCCCGGGCCCCGCCCCGCCCCGGGCCCCGCCCCGCCCCGCCCCGGGCCCCGCCCCGCCCCGGGCCCCGCCCCGCCCCGGGCCCCGCCCCGCCCCGGGCCCCGCCCCGCCCCGGGCCCCGCCCCGCCCCGGGCCCCGCCCCGCCCCGGGCCCCGCCCCGCCCCGGGCCCCGCCCCGCCCCGGGCCCCGCCCCGCCCCGGGCCCCGCCCCGCCCCGGGCCCCGCCCCGCCCCGGGCCCCGCCCCGCCCCGGGCCCCGCCCCGCCCCGGGCCCCGCCCCGCCCCGGGCCCCGCCCCGCCCCGGGCCCCGCCCCGCCCCGGGCCCCGCCCCGCCCCGGGCCCCGCCCCTGTCCCGCCCCATGCCGCCCGGCCCGGCCCGGCCATGGCGGCCCCCGCGCGGCGGCTGCAGCTGACGCTGGCGCTGCTCAAGCCGGACGCCGTGGCCCATCCGCTCGTGTGCGAGGTGAGAGCCAGGCCGGGCCGGGCACAGCAAAGCACAGCAGGCCTCGCCACGACCCCCCCCAGCGCCGCCTCTTCCCGCAGGCCGTGCACGCCGCCATCCTCCGTCATCGCTTCCTCATCGTCCGCGCCAAGGAGGTGCGGTGCGGCGCGGAGCAGAGCCGCCGCTTCTACCGGGAGCACGCAGGTACGAGCCGGGCTCGGGGGGCCCGAGCGGGGCGCTGCCCCGGGCCGGTGCCCACCCGGTCCGTGTCCGTCCGCAGGGCGTTTCTTCTACCAGCGGCTGGTGGAGTTCATGGCCAGGTACGGGCCGTGCCCCGTGTGCGGCGCTGGGAGGCTCTGGCAGCGGGACCTGGCGGTGGCACCCCGGAGGTGCTGCAGGTCATCGTGTGCAGTAGGCCAGCGGTGCCGGCGCCGTGGCCGCGGTGCCGCGCTGGGACCGTGCCCGTCCCCACGGCGCGGCAGGGCAGGCCAGGGCCCGGCGTGGCAGCCCATGGCAGCTGTACTGTGCAGGTTTGTAAGGACGAATAACCTGTTTGTAATGAGCTCTTCATGATCTTTTCTCCTGCTGTTCCTGGGCCCTTGCTGCAGTGGCCCCATGTGGGCTTACATCCTGGCCCATGAGAACGCTGTCCCTCTCTGGAGATCCCTGATGGGACCCACTAAAGTGTTCCGAGCCCGACACAGCAACCCAGACTCCATCCGAGGTGCCTACGGCCTTACGGACACCAGGAACACGACCCATGGCTCAGGTAGGCCTAGCATTCCTGGACGGTTCTTGGGGAGGCAGGAACGATGGTGCTTTGTCTGCCTTTGCTTTAGTTCTGGGGCTCCAAGTGAGCGATTTGTTCCCTTCTGCAGACCTCACGCACACCTGGCCAGGTGCAGCCTAGCCAGGCACCTTTGGAGTGCAGCATGTGTTTGTGGTGGCAGACTGCCATCTCACTGCCTTTCGCTCTCTTTTGACAGACTCAGCTGCCTCAGCCAGCAGAGAAATTGCCTTTTTCTTCCCCGAGTTCGACGAGCAGCGCTGGTACGAGCAGGAGGAGCCGCGGCTGCGGCACGGGCAGCTGTTCCACGGCGCCCAGGAGTGCCGGCCCGGGGCTCAGCCCGCACAGGTGACCCCAGTGAGCGGGCAGGGGGTGCTGTGCTGGCCTGGCAGCCCTGGGCGCACTCTCCTGGGCAGCAGACACAGAGCTGTGCTGCGTGCGGGGAGCCTGGAGGGGGAAAGCAGCCTTGTGCTGCCTGGGAGCAGATTATTGCTGTAACAGGCAGGTGCTGGGGGCTGTAGGAAGAGTTCCCCCAGCAGTGCTCATGCTGACAGTCTGGCCATGCAGCTCACTGGCTCCCTGAGTTTTTTTGGATATGAACAGGACAGGTGAGTTGGTCAAGGGCCAGGTGAAGAATAGGTTGCTTGTTCCAGATGGGATTGGCCTGGGTTTGCTGATGGGAAGCCTCAGATTCTCCCAGCTGGCTGTTCCCACAATGCCTTAGGGAGAAAAGAAGGAAGAAGAACGTGAAGAAAGTTCATCAGCAGGGCAAGATGAACTGTCCTGTCCTTGCTCACCTGCAACTGGGCTGGGAAACGAGGAGCTTTGCCAATAGCTGTGCATGTGAGAGCACTTGGAGCCCTCAGTGTCCATGGCCCGACGGTGCCAGGGCAGTTCCGTGTCTGTGGGAGATGGGATGAACACGGCCATGGAATTACCCAGATGTGTGGTGGAACTGTGACAGGGCAGTGCAGGAGGGCTTAGCTGGGAGGCACAGAGCCAGGTCCTGGCGGCTGATTTGCGTTTCTCTCTGTGATGCTCTGTGTGTTCCTCAACGGGGTTTCAGTCCGTTTGTGCTGTCCCCCTATGGGCTCCTTGCAGAGCTGCCATTTTAGTTCCAGTGCCCTGTTGGAATTTCCTTTGGGCAGTCCCAAATGCTCGGGCTGGGGAAGGTGTGCTGTGCTCGGGGCAGGAGAGCTGCGCTGAGATCCAGCAGAGCCCTGGCACACCACAGAGCCAGGGCAGGGACTCTCCAGGTGCTTCCAGAACCCCGTGAACTGTTGGGTAGTGACTGACTGACTGTGGGGTGGAAAGCACGGCCCAGACTCGCCCAGCTCACGTGTTTGTGCTCCCTCCTCCTTCTGTCTGGGATCAAATGGTCGTTGTTCTGTTCCAGGGACAGAGCCAGGGATCTGCAGGACACCACTGCTGCCCCTGTCCTCAGCAGTGTCCGGAGTGGATCTGCTCAGGATCCTGTGTGTCTTCACACAGGCCTGAGAGCTGTTGTCCCCAGTGCTGTTGATACTTTACTGATATTTTGTCAGTTTTTTATTGATGCCCAGAGGTTTTGCTTAGATCTGTGTGTTTTTCTTTTAACTATTAAACTTTACTATTTTTCACCTTTCTTCTTTTATGTTGTGCTTTCCTTTTGGGATATTCCTTGGTAATATCATTAACTGATAATTCCTGGCTCACACTTGCCACTTTTGAAGTTTTGGTCTTTTTTCCTACTCACTTGCAATGGTTACACTTGGGAAAAGGGCCCTTCTGAACATTGCCAGTGCAGAGAGCTCTGCCAGCAGGATTGTCACAGTGACACCACCTGGCAGCCACCATGATTCAGGTACCGGCTGGTGGCACCTGGCCATTGTCCTGGCCCTGAGGCTGTACCTGAGCACAGGTGCTCAGCCTGGGCAGCCCATTGCCCCAGACAGAGGGTTTGTTGTGTGAATCTAAAGCTGTCCAGCAGACTTTGTCAGAGACCTGAGGCTGAAGCACTTGGTATTTGATGCAGGACACAGTGTCAAAACTGATTTTTTCTCTCCAAGGAAGTCTTACAAAAGGTCACAGGTTACTCTGCTTGGAGGGCTCTTAATCAAAGTGGGTTTGTTTGTTTGGGGTTTTTTTTCCCATTTTCTTTTTCTTTTCCTTGTAAATGCCCGGTAAGTGATTTTTGGCTTTTGCAGTGGTGCCTGCCCCATCGCTGGCAGTTTCCTGGGCTGAGCTGGATGGGCCTGGAGCAGCCTGGTGCAGTGGGTGACATCCCTGTTCACGGCAGGGGCAGGGAGCTGCATGAGCTATGTGGTCCCTGCCAGCCCAAGGCATCCCGTGCTGATGGGTGTGTGTTACAGCAGTAAATCAGTGTCCCAGCTGGTCTCAAACACAGACAATGTGGCATCTCAGAACAGGTTTGAAGGGCGGTTTGAGATCCCTGTTTTCCCTGGCCCAGCTATGGGGTCTGTGCACAGGGCTGGTCACAGCTTCTGCCCAGGGGCTGCTGCCATGCACTGCCTGGGGCACAGTGCCCAGCCCGGGCACCTGCAGGGACACCTCGGGTGTGGAGCTGGGACAGGGCATCGCACAGGGACCTACCTGGGAGTCCGGGCCTGAACTCCATCTGCTCTTGCAGAATTGAGCAGGTTTGTGTCAGCACTGGAGGGCACAACACGGTTTGGCCTGAGAAGAAGGGAAGGAGAGGCTTCAGAGGGAAATGAGTGCTGCTCCCAGCCCAGGCCTGGCCTCAGTCTCAGCCACCACAGGCAGAGCCCTCTGAGCTTGAGGAATTTCATTTGATTTATTGCTGTGACACAAACTTTTAGTTGCTGATTCAGGTACCGAGGAAGACCCAAGATAATGACTAAAGAAACCCCTGGGGAAACACCTTTCCTCTACTTTCCCAGGTTCAGCTTCTGTCCAGCATCTTTTCTCCCCTCTTTTCCTGCAGGTTCTGCCTCCTCTCTCCCAGTGCCTGGGGAGGTGACAGCACAGAGGGCTGGGGCTGGGCTGGGCTTGGCTTTTCTACTTGTTTCTTCCTCTTTCCTTCTTGTTTACTCACTCCTGGCACACCCACAGGCTTCAGTCCCTCAGGTGTGCACCTGCTCCCTGGGCTGGTCTTTTCAGGGAGAAATGGGCCAGTGGGAATTTCATGAAGTTTCTAGAGGAAAACACCGTGTCCTGCACCTGGGCAGGGATGTTTCCATTTGCAACACTCACGTGAGGGACCAGAGAAGCATCTGGCTGTCCTGACGGCCGTGAGCCACCCCTGGGTCAGCAATGCACCTCTGTGGCCTGGCAGCATCCCCAGGTGTGGGAGTCAGGGCACTCGCCCACAGGTCACCCCATCCCCTCCTGGGGCACAGGGAAGGCCACATCTGGTGCACTGGTGCCAGTTTTGGACTGCCCAGTGCCAGACAGCCTGCTCAGAACTGGGGCCCAGCATGGACTGATTAGGACATCTGAGAATCTGGCAGGTAAGGAGAGGCTGAGGGCTGGGGCTGCTCAGACTCAGGAGCTCAGTAGGGTTTATCAATGGGTAGAAATCCCAGGTGTGAGCAGTGAAGGGAACCTCAGGTATCCCAGGAACAGGCACAAGGCAATGGAAACGACCTGAAAACTGGCAATTTCGCTGAGACATAAAAAACCCTCTTTTATTATTTTTATACTCCAAGAGCGATAAAATAAGGTCAGGAGCCCCTCTGCCAAGGCAGGGCTTTGGCCTCAACACCCTCTGGAGTTCCTTTCTGTGCTGCTGGGCAGGTGTGGCCCCCGGGCTGTTGCTGCAGTGGCAGGGGATGCCCTTGGGGCCATGTGGGCACCTGGGCAGCAGGTCAGGCCTCTCCTTCCCCCAGCAAGGCCATAATTCCTGCCAGCCCCACCGCGGGCTCTGCTGCTGTTCAGTATTTCCCTCTCTGCAGCTGATCTGTGCTGGAACCCTGGATGCTGAGAATTCCAGACTTTCTGTGCTGACATGCACTGATCCCCAAGAGAACACAGCATTTGACCTGAGGCTGTGGAGAAGGCTTCAAAAATTGATAAATAGCACTGGGATTATGGGTGTGTAGTTGGTTAGAAGTGTGCGATATCACAGGGTGGAAAACTTAGAGTTTAAGGTTTTAGAATATAGTAATATATGTAGAGCAAGATGGAGGTTTTAGCATGGTAGGTGGTCCTTCTTCACCTTCTTCCTTCTTCACCCCAAATGGGTTTGGGTGATTTTGTGTAATTGGACAGAAAAGTCTGCATTGCAGACTTTGAGTGATTAGTTATTGGGTTAAACATGAAAATAATTTAGGTGCCATTTCTTAATGGATAGTTTAGCCTTAAAAGACCATGTACAGAAGATTGTTAGCCATTTTGTAGCTTGTTAGTAGAATGCTGTAGAACTCACTGCTTGTAATAGAGATAAGAAATAATAAACACCTGAGTCTGGACACAAAACACACTCTTGAGTGCTTCAATCCCCACCCTGACAGAGGCAGAAAGGAAGCCAAGAACCAGCAGATCTGCTCTTCTCACAACAGCCTGTGTCCCGCTTTTCCCAGGTCCGGGGACAAGGAAAAATGGATACAATGGAAATAAAGACAAATTTACTGCTTCAGTGCTGGCTGCACTTGTCTCTGCTAAAGCTGCATCTCACTGTGCAGAGCTGCAGACAAGGGTGCTGTGGGTGGCCAAAGATTTTGTGGATTTGATCTTGTATCAGGCTGTGGGTTCTCACATGGAAAAGAAAAGGGGCCTGGGAAAGCAGCCACAGAATCAAATCCCAGGCAAACAGACGTAATGGTGTTCAGGGAAGGCTGAGCCAGAGCAGTCCAATCCATCCCCACACTGAAAGTTCCAAGGGATTAGCAAAGAGTTATCTCAGATTTGGGGGCCACAACCCTGTAGGCCACAGTTTTCCCACAGAGCTGCTGTACAAAGCAGGAGGAACAAGGAGTGAGAGAAACACCAAACTGCAGAAAAAAATCCTCATAGATTGGGGCTGTTTTCTTCCAGCACAGAAAATAAACACTCTCCTGTAGGAGTGACAGGGATAGGATGGTTGGGACGGACGGAGATGAGAGATCTCTGAAGCCAAGGCTTGGAACTTGGGATTTATTGCAAAGGGCCTGGGTGCAGGGCCCTGCTGGGATTTGGGGATTATTGCAAAGGGCCTGGGTGCAGGACCCTGCTGGGATTTGGGGTTTATTGCAGAGGGCCTGGGTGCAGGGCCCTGCTGGGATTTGGGGTTCATTGCAAAGGGCCTGGGTGCAGGGCCCCGCTGGGATTTGGGGTTTATTGCAAAGGGCCTGGGTGCAGGGCCCTGCTGGGATTTGGGGTTTATTGCAAAGGGCCTGGGTGCAGGGCCCTGCTGGGATTTGGGGTTTATTGCAAAGGGCCTGGGTGCAGGGCCCTGCTGGAGCTGCAGCCACAGCTCAGAGCAGGCCCCAAAGAGAGAGAGAGCAAGAGGAAAAGAGAGGACAGAAGAGAGTGAAGTTCCCATTACAATACAATGAATCTTCTGTGCTGAATATTCTATTTTTCACTAACCAGTTTAGTACAAGATAAAAATCTTATAGCATTTACATACAGCCTGTAAGAATCATTACATTACCACACTGTGTTACATTTTAAACCCTAATAGCTCCTTTTTGGGCCCCTTCTGCCAAGCTATAGGGTCTGCTCTGACCCTTGGGCCTGTCTGCAAGCAGAAGGTGTTGTTCCATCAAAAGGGGATTACCTTCAGCCAGCCACACCATTGTTTTTTAGTTGTTCAGTAACTGAGATATCTCAAAGCTTGCTTTCATTTCAATCTCGCTCATAGTTTCCATATTCTCAAAATCTTTTGCCAGGCAATCATATTTATAACGCTTCCCTGTTTCATCTTCCCCAACACTCTCCCACCTCATGCCCCAGACAGGCCAAGCATGGGCTGGATCTGGACTCTGACCAAATTTAACGTTGAGCTTGATGTGATGCCACAGAGCAGGAAAACCCCAGGACAGACCAGACTCCTGTGTACACAGCCAAGCCATCCACCTGGGCTCCTCCTCACCTGCGTGCAGACAGCCACATCTCTGTGATACCCTGCCCAAAGCCCTGGCAGGCTCCAGGAAGAACCAGTTTTCATCTCTCCTTCAGATCCCGATCCCAGTTATCAACGTGTCCAGGACCTGATTGGTCCCTCCATTCACACTTACTATTGAGTACTTGTATTAGCCAGATTTCCTCATTAATGCTTCCCTGCCTTCCAAAACATTCCTGATAAACAAAAGACAGTTCTGTATCTCCCACAGCACCCAGAGAAAGTCAAAAGCCATCAGTTGTGCAAAGCAGCTGCTGCTGCTGCTGGAGCTGAATATTTAAATTTAACATGGGGCTGTGTTGATCCTTTCCGGAGAACAGATGTTTTATGGAAACACTTTGGAAATCCATCCCTGCCCTGAGTACAGGAGAGTTCTGGAAGCAATGGGAGGGATGAGTTTTGGTGGCAGCACTGTTGGAGCA